TCCCGGCCCACTGGCTCCTAACCACTCGCCTGCCTGCCTGCCTGATTGCCCCTAACCACTCTCCCTGCCTGCCTGATCACCCCTAACCACCTCTGCCTGCTGGCCTGATCACCCCCTAACTGCTCCCCTGCCGGCCTGATTGCCCCTAACTTCCCTCCCCTGCCAGCCTGGTCACCCCTAACTGCTCTCCCCTGCTGGCCTGATCACCCCTAACTGCCTCTGCCTTGGCCCCCACCACCATGGCTTTGTCCGGAAGGATGTCCGGAAGATGTCTGGTCTAATTAGCATATTACCCTTTTATTAGTATAGATATTTTAGAATAGGTTTTTATTTAGTTCCTCAGAAAGTTTATTTGTAATTTGTATTGGGATTCCATTGAGTATATAAGTTAACTAAAGGAGACTATATATTGAGTTCTTTATATATTAAGATCTTTCACTCAAGGATATGGAATGTATTTTCATTTCATTTAAGTCATTCTATGTCCTTGAATAGACTTTTAAATTTTCCTCCAAAGACTACTCTATACTTACACTAACTCATATAATAAATACAACCCAAAAATATGGGTATTTTATTATCACCATTTTCCAGATAGGGAAACTGAACCCAGAGTGATAAGTAACTTGCCCAAGAACACACAGTAACAACACAAGTAACAAAACCTGGATTCAAATAGTTTAGAATCCATACTCTTAACCACTGTATTCCCTTTCTTTCTACAGGTAGTTACTTTATATAGTTTGACTGCAACTGTGAGTAGTATCTTTTTCATTATTTATGTATTATCTGGTATATTATTATTATTATACTAGAGTCCCGATGTATGAAATTCGTGCAAGGGGCTCAGCCCCATCCGCCGAGACAGCCGCCTCTACCTGGGCCCCCACCCACCCCAGCTTTGTCCAGAAGGTCGTCCAGAAGGATGTCCAGAAGGACGTCTGGTTTAATTAGCATATTATGCTTTTATTAGTATAGATTTTCTAATTGGTTGTTGTAGATGTAGAGAACTTAGTTGATTTTTGTAAGTTGATATTTGTATCCAGTGAAGTTGCTGAATTCTCTTATTAGTTCTACTATTGGCTTTATTGTTTCTGTTGCTTTTCTGTACATCAACTGTAAATAATAAAAATTTGGTTTTTTTCCTCTCCAATTTGTAAACCTCTCATGTCTTTTTCCTCCCTTATAGCATTGGCCAAGACCCAGTACAATGTCAGACATTATGTAGTGGTGATCATGGCTCCGGTAATGCCTCATGTAGAGCATGTTTCATTTTATCTTGGCTATAGGATGTGCAGAGAACTGTTTCACAAAAGAACAGGTTAGAAACCGTGTCTGGTGGCCACGAATGCCTTCTGAGCAGAGAGGCCTGTGCTTACTTATGCCACAGAAATTACTTTCCATCGGAGTCGGCCTTCCAGGGGAGAAATAGCTCAATTGTGATAAACTTGACTTCTGACTTTAAGTATATTTAACTCCATCCTAAACCCTATGGCAACAACACAGCTCTGTACCTGTCATTTGCTTTACACAATCTGCTACATGTTATTGTTTCTGACAACCCATTGGTCTCTATTCCCATGGAGGAGTTCAGACAGTAGCATTGGAAGGAGGCTTAGTGATCAAATATTGCTCTCCTTTACACACATCTAAAAGTCCCTAAAGTGGAAGCCTCATCATCTTTAAGCAAATGATCTGGGGGGAGGGGGGTTGATGCCAACAACTGAGAGAGGTTGAATCAGACCAGGGGCTAATATAGCTTTCTCCTAATTGGCTTCATCACCCCATCTTCAGAGAGGTTGGCCCAGCCAAGTGTTCATGGTAGCATCTCAGGGCTTACAGTGATCTCATCTACCCCGACGCCAATGGAGACCCAGAGGAGAGGAAGAAGAAACACCCACTCTTCTCTCCTGCATTCCCAAAGGCTTATCCCTATCCAAGACTGTTGAATCTGCACCGTGGTGGTCACCAGCGGCCCCATAGAGAAGTCCTGGGACCTTAGTGCAGTGTGACCCTTCAAAAGCCTTGAGTGAGTGACCAAACACACCCTTCCCTTTCATAGACACCCAGGGTGACTAATGCTTGGGTAGAAATGAGTGAACTGAAAAGTCCCACAGGAATCTCAAACCCAGCACATCCAAAATGGAACTTCTCACTGTCGCCTCCAAACTCACTCCCCTCTTCCAGGAACCCCTGTGCAGGACCTGGAACAACCTCTATTCAATATTCTCAGTGTCTGTCTGGCCCTTACGCCTTGGCCCCTCTCTGTCCACCCTGTTCTCCATTCTAAATGGGGCCTTGGCCACATCCTCCCAACCGCTCCCTCCGTTCCACTCCTGGGATCCATCCTCCATGTTACTGCTGGAGAAATCTCTGCACCATGCAAATCAGACCATATATCCTGCCTAACACTCTAGAACAGCGGTCGCCAACCTTTCGGACCTCACGGACCACCAGTTGGCGACCGCTGCTCTAGAAGGTTCCCACCACCCTCAGCAGAATGTACGCTCCTTTTCGTGGCATCTACCAATCTCACGGCACGGCCTCATCATCCTGCCCAGTCTCCCACCCTGGCAGCAGGACCCCTAGATAGCCACTTGCCCTCCCCTCCCTGACTGTGCTTCTGATGACTCTTCCCCTCCCATTCCACTGGAAGTGGTCTAAGGCCTATTCATCCTTCAACACCCATGTTGGGGGCGGGGGGGGGGGGGGTTGGGGGGAGGGGAGATGGGGAGGAGGAGTTGAGGAGGGACCTCTGCCCTTGGGAGCCTTTGCTGCTGCTTCACCCCCATCACTCCTGCTGAGGTGCCCTCTCTCTGGCTTCTCCTCCCAGGAGCTGAACATCCACCCCACTACATTGTCATGATTCTCTCCTAGACTCTGAAAGAATCTGGATTCTTGAAAAAAAGTAAGTTATTACATAGTCTGGTTTCATCCCTGTTCATGTTTAAGATAGTACCCATGGGCAAAACACATTGAGTCAGATTCGGTCTGGCAGTGCCCCAAAGGGATCTGTTCACCGCTAGGTGTTCTGCTCCGAGCACAATGTCCGCTTGGCACATTGTAGACCATAAGAATGGATAGATGGGTGGACGGATGGACGAATGAACTAGCGAACGAATAAATCAATTGCCCAACCCCATCCTGAACCTGGCGGGTGGACGCCATCAGGGCACATCCTCACTACACTAGATAAAAAGTGGGTAGCACCACTAGGCGCTCCGTCGGCAGGGGGCGCTGCAGGGCGGAGGGGTGAGGGCTGGGTACTGGGATTTGGGGGCAGGGGCGTCGGAGACCCGGAACTGAGGGGGCGGCAGGGGGTCGGGCATGCCCGGGGGACCCTGTGCCGGGGCGATTCTGCGCGAATTTTCGCTTTCGCTTCGGGCCGGGACGGAGGCGGCGGGGCCGTCCCGACCGACTGCGGCCGGGGCCCGGGGGAGTTAATCCGAAAGCGCCGCCAGCCCCGCGGGCCCAACTCCACGTGTCACCGAGAAGCTGAGGTAGAGACAGAGAGAGAGAGAAAGCAAGTGATCTGAGTCGGGGAAAGTCCTGCGCGCCTCCGGGCAATTATAAAAATGTGACCCCCCGGTCGGCTTCCAACGAGCGCCCTCACCTGCTGCGCCCAGCGGTCCTCCGGCTGCTGCTCCGTGTCCGCGCCCTGCCCGCTCCGCGCCCGCCCAGCATGCGCCCCCCGCGCAGTGAGTACCCGGCGGCCGGGACACCGGCTCGGGTGGGGAGGGCGGCGCCCGGCAAGAGGAGGCAGAACCTTGGTACCGCTCACCTCACCGGGAGGCTGCGAGCAATCAGCCGTTCCTAGTTAAAGGAGATCGAAGGGAGGGGGGCGGGAGACCTAATTGCTTGCTTTCCAAGCGCTGAAAGGGACATCGGCTCTTTTGGTCTTGAAACAGCCCTTGAGCTAAGTATTGTTATGCCCACTTCTTAAGTGACAAACGGAGGCCCAAGGGGGTGGCTTCTTTCTTTCTTAAAATATATTTTTATTGATTTCAGAGAGAAAGGGAGAGGGAGAGAGAGAGAAACATCAATGATGAGACAGAATCATTGATCGGCTGCCTCCTGCACTCCCCCGACTGGGGATCCAGCCCACAACCCAGGCATGTGCCCAACCGGGAATGGAACCCTGATCTCCTAGTTCATAGGTCAATGCTCAACCACTGAGCCACACGGGCCGGGCCGGTTTCTTGCCCAGGATCCCTCAGCTACAGCTCTAAGAGCGTGAGTCTGGGCCAGTCACTTGACTACCTGGCCTCAGTTTCCCACTAGTGAAGTGGAGACGCTTTCTAGTTGAGGTTTGACCCTTGTCTGAGCTCATTGGGAGAAAGCTAGTTTCTTGCAGAAAGTTAGTTTCTCAACTTAGAATCGAGCACTGCCTTCCAGGGACCTGATGCATCTCTCAGGTGTTTCAGGAAGATTCTGGGTTGGGAGGAGGTTGGCGTCCAGCAGAGGTAGATGGGTGGAGACAACCAGCACTGGTGGAAGGGAGAGGCAGGCCAAGTCAGGGAGACACCCTCAGCAGCCGCCCCGTTCCCTTCCAGGCCTCCTCCTGGCAGTTTCTCTGGTCCTCCTGCACCACCTCAGTTTGGCCAGGAACCTCCCCACCACAGCCACGGCAGGCCCTGGCATGTTCGCGTGCCTCAGCCACTCCCGGAACCTGCTGAAGGCCGTCAGCAGCACGCTTCACAAGGTGAGCCTTTCCACGTCCTTGCTCCCACTCTGCAGCCTCTCTAGGGCAGGGGCCTCTCCAAACCCGGGTCACCTGCAGGGAAATGGTGGGCGTTTGTCAGGGGCTGTCAAGAGAGGAAGAGGGGCCTTTACAAATGGCCCGACTATTAGCTAAAGAGTCTCAATGAAATTGTGTCTCCAGAGAAAGCAGGAGTGGTCATAAATTATCACGGCATCCCTTTGGGCTGTGTCTACACAGAGGAAAGTGGATATTTACCGTGTTCCCTGTAGCCTGCCAACAGAGGTGGAATGAATTGTGCCGGGCCCACACTGTTTCTCTGACACACTTATCAATCCAGCAAACCGTTATTAGGTGCAGCCTCCATGCTCCGGGGGCCACAGAGATGAATTAGACTTGCCCCTCACGCTGCTCGCCAGCTTCTCAGTCTGGTGACTCGGGTTCGTTGTCAGAGCAACGCGTTTCAGAGAGCTGCGACGGTGCACGCCCAGCCTTCCTTTTCTAGGGGGAGAATTATCTCATTTTGTTTACAGCTTCATTCATTTTTTAGGTTTCCTATGTTAATGCCAAAAAAAAAAAAAAATTTTTTTCTTTTAAAAGTGCTCCAGGAGCTATTGCTTTTGCTGCGACGGCCGAAGACGGATGTTTTCAAAGACATCCTTTTGCCATCCTGCTCTCTAGTAAATCTTTCTTGAATATTTTTAGCTGGTTGTTTTACGAGTATCTTAAAATAAGCTCAATGCCACGAGGCCTTCTGAAAGAACTCTTTTTCCCCTTATCTTTCATGATGCGCTGCCAACTGCTCTGTACGGTTCAATCAATCTTAATTAAAAAGGCGGCTCACCGGAGGAGTGCAGCCGAGATAAGTGCTGTGGCTCCTGGAGAACGGTTCAATATGGATAAAGTGTAGGCGCTCCAATCTAAACAGAAGCTTTCTATGAGAAGGCTGGCTCTTTCCCAGGCGTTGCACTAAAGGTCAAGGGGTTGCAGAACTCGGTCTGATGTTTTTTACATCACTCCTGTGTCACATTTGCCAAGAACAGGTGGCCAGTGCCTGCCATCCACAGGCCGTATCCAGCACACAGATTGGTAGAGTTTGGCCCATGTCTTTCAGATTTTATTTAGATTTATTTAGTTTGATGCTATTGGGGGGAAAAAGTGGTCTTTTCATAAAAGAAACCAAATTTCCAACTCCTCTTGAAAAGATCCGAAGAACTGTAACAGTGGGCCCACGTTTCCAAACCTAACTTTTGACAACCCGCTCAGGCCAGTGGCTGCCCGGGTCTGTGTGAGCATCTCCAGGAAGAGTGTATTCATTTTCTTTGGCTACTGGAACAAATCGCCACGAACTTAGTGGCTTTAACCAACACACATGTATTATCTGACAGCCCTGGAGGTCAGAAATCCAAAACGGGTCTCGCTGGGCTAACATCAAAGTGTCAGCCATGCTGTAACCCTTCCTGGAGACGAGGGAGATTATTTTTTCTTGCCTTTTCCAGTTTCTAGAGGCTGCTGAGGTCCCTGGGTATGTGTCCCCCTTCTATCTTCAAAGCCAGCAATGGCCAGTTGAGTCTTTCTCATGCTGCATCACTCTGACCTTGACTTTTCTGCTTCCCTCTTCCACTTATCATCGGGCCACCCAGATACTCCAAGATAACCTCTCTGTCGTAAGGCCAGCTGATTAGCAACCTTAATTTCATCTGTAACCTTAATTCCCCTTTGCCATGTAACAACATATTCTCAGGTTCCAGGGGTTGGGAGGTGGATCTGTTGGGTGGTGTGTGTCGGGGGCATTATTCTGCCTAGCGCAGATGGGGATTTTACTGTCTGTTCCCAAACATGTTCTGCACTCTCAAGCTTTGATTCATGGCTCATGTAGTTCCCTCTGCCTGAAATTCCCCCTCCTCTGCCGGCCAACATTCTAATCTTCCTATTGCAAATGTGCCATCTCTGGCGAAGTCTTTGCTTCCCTTTCCACCTCCTCCTCAGAGCCTTCATAGCCTTCTCAGCTCTTCTCTCCTGCTGACCTATCTCCAAGTCATGTGGGCACTTGCCTGTCCTCTTGGATAAACTTGGAATCCTGGGGACAGAACATAGGCCTCCTCTCTGTCATGTTCCGTAGTGCCTAGCTCAGTGCCTGGCACACACCAGGCTTGTGGAGTAGGAAAATGATCTTGATCTTCAATCAAAAAGTCATCAACTTCTTAAGATAAATTTCATTATTATATTCAACAATGCTTTCCAAGGTGCTTGTAGGATGACGTGTGTGTGTGTGTGTGTGTGTGTGTATGTGTGTGTACATGCACACCACAAATTAAATCTCAATTTGTCTTTAGGGTTGCATGTTTGTTATATCCATCACGTTGTGACCTTAACAGTTCCCCTTTAGAAGTTATAATTGAACAAGATATTCATAAAACACAGGCGCTTTAGCAGAAGCAAAAAACGCCTTCACCAGGAGCAAGTGTCACAGCATGGTGGAGATTCTGATTAGCACAGCCTGTTGAAATGATTTATGGTGTTTACACAATGGAAAAGCATGTCATCCAGGGAAACACGTCCGAAAAGCATAGGGAGAGAGAGTGTAAATGACCTGTTTCCTTTTGTCTTCTGAAGACCCTGAATTTCTTACAGGTCAAAGGAATAATAAGTGTTTTGCTGGCACCCCAGGGTATGGGGAGCCAGGTACCGTATTAATATTATAAACTGGGTTTCTCCTTATGACTTTTACAGGCCAGACAAACATTAGAATTTTACTCCTGCACTTCTGAAGAGATTGATCATGAAGATATCACAAAAGATAAAACCAGCACCGTAGAAGCCTGCCTACCACTGGAATTAATCACGGTATGGACAACATTCCTCCCAAAGCACATCATGCAATTAAAAGCTGTGTATCAAACTTCATCTTCTTACAAAAATGTGCATGTTTCTGGTCTCTACCATCCTGAAATTTTAAGAGATCCCCCTTCAAAGTTAGATTTGAGAAAAAATTTATAAAAACAGATATGGTTTTTCACGATGTGAATATATTTAACACCACTGAACTGGGCACTTAAAAATAGTTAAGATGGTACCTTTTGTTAGTTATTTTTAACCACAATAAAAAAAAAACCACATATATTTGAGAGGAAAGGTCAGAAAATTTTATATTAAGAATTAATATCTTTGATGTGTGATTTTTCCCCTCTATGAGAATTGCCTGGTTTCCAGAGAGATTGCTTTCATAACTATAAGTCAGAAAACTAAAGGTTTCAACTCATTTTATGAATTTATATCATTGATTGATGTCTGATTATTTTTTCTTCTAGAATGGGAGTTGCCTGGCTTCCAGAACGGCCTCTTTTATGACGGTGAGACACGGAACTTTTTCCTCAAATACGATGGGCAGGGGAGGGGGAGGAAAACACTTCTAGCTCATCTCAGTGGTTTCTTCCCCATGTTGTCTTATCACCCAGACCCTGTGCCTCAGTAGTATCTATGAGGACTTGAAGATGTACCAGGTGGAGTTCAAGGCCATAAATGCAAAGCTTTTGATGGATCCTAAGAGGCAGATCATTCTGGATCAAAACATGTTGGCAGCTATTGATGAGCTGATGCAGGTAAGGCCTTCATCCAATCAGTGAGAGCACCTTGTTCATGCCTAGACAGCCCATCAGAGTCCCAGATGAAGACGTACACAGACAGCCCTTCCTGGATTGGGAGAGGCCTGAAATGCCCCCTCCTAAAGCCCCTACGGAGTCATAGCCTTGAGGGTGTCCTCGAGAGCAGCGGTCACCAACTGGTGGCCCGCAGACCACTGGTGGTCCGTGAGGTCCGAAAGGCTGGCGACCGCTGCTCTAGAGCAGTGGTCAGCAAACTCATTAGTCAACAGAGCCAAATATCAACAGTACAACGATTGAAATTTCTTTTGAGAGCCAAATTTTTTAAACTTAAACTATATAGGTAGGTACATTGTTATTAACTTAATTAGGGTACTCCTAAGGCTTAGGAAGAGCCACACTCAAGGGGCCAAAGAGCCGCATGTGGCTCGCGAGCCACAGTTTGCCAACCACGGCTCTAGAGAAAGAGCAGACACAAGCAGGACACATTGAGAAAAGCAGCCACCCATTTGTTGACCAAGTGGTGTGCACCGGTCTCTCTGCGAATGTTTTCACACATTTTCTTAATATCGTCCCCACAGCAACCACATGGGTTCTGTACAAAGGAGGAAACCGAAGCTTAGACAGCCACTTGTCCAAGGTCAGACAGCTTCCAAATGGCAGAGCCAGGACTTAAGCCCCCACCAGAGGGATTGCACTGCACTTCTTGCTCACTTCTAAAGGCTCCAGGATGTGCATGTGAGGGCCTGCCTACACATCTGCAAATTTAACCAGAGAAAACAAGCAGAGCTAGTGCCTGGGTCTGACCCATTCTGAACCAAAGTGTGAATGAAATAAAAGAATGGCCTGTCACCTGGGGAGAGCCACAGTGTTACTCAGAGACAAGAACTTGGTTTATAGCTCCTAAATCATCATAGCACACAATGCTAATACAAAACATAGGAATCCTATATAATAAAAGGGTAATATGCAAATCGACCAAACAGTAGAACGACTGGTCGCTGGACACACACTGACCACCAGGGGGCAGCCACTGAACACAGGAGCTTCCCCCTGGTGGTCAGTGCACTCCCACAGGGCTCACGGCTGGCAAGCGCAGCAGCAGTGTTGGTTGCCTCTCCAGCCTCTGCAGCAGGGCTAAGGAGGCTTGGGCCCACTCCCCAGAGGGAGGGGGCCTGAGCCATCAGTCGGACATCCCCTGAGGGTACCTGGACTGCGACAGGTGGCAGGCCAGGCTGAGGGACCCCACCCTCCACCCCTGACCCCCCGACTGCACAAATCTCATGCACCAGGCCTCTAGTATTCACATAGGAAACAGCAAGGTGAATGCTTTGGTGACCAGGCATGGGATAAAAATACGGTATCAGAAATCATTGTCTGAAAAGGAATCTTTCTCTCTTTCTTTCTTTCACCAAATTACTTGTTTGACAGGCACTGAACATCATATAGCATCAAAGAATCTTACCATCTACAGAATTATAGATAATAATTTCATGTTCAGGACAAAGAGGTGATTTGGGTACTGGAGTCATTTCTACCAGTAATCAGACAACTATGACAAAGCCATTACCTCTGTGCCTCAGTTTCTCCTTATGTAAAATGGGAGGACTTAACCCACCCTACCTTTCTTTTAGGCTTTTTGTGAGAATAAGTGAGATTACCGATCATTGTGCAAACATAAGGTCTTGCTTTGAGTCATCAAATCAAAGGGTTAAACCTGGGAAGTCCATTGCCAGGTTTATTTATCTGACACAAATGAGTTTCTGCAGTAAACACCTTGGTACCGATAGAGAGTTTTGATCAATAGCAATCCATCACCTCCCTGTTCTAAAAAAGACTTCAGCCCTAGCTGGTTTGGCTCAGTGAGTAGAGCGTTGGCCTGCGGGCTGAAGGCTCCCAAAAGCACATTCCCGAGTTGTGGACTCGATCCCCAGTAGGGGGTGTGCAGGAAACAGCCTATCAATGATTCTCTCTCATCATTGCTGTTTCTATCTCTCTCTCCCTCACCCTTCCTCTCTGAAGTCAAGAAAAATACATTTTTAAAAATACTGATGGCATTTGAAACCGCTTTCAGGGTCTCTTCCAAGCTCAATGAAGATACATGTGCTTGGATCATGAGAATTTCTTCTTTCAGGTTCTGCCTGGCCATCTGGCTGGGAGAGTGGATTGGGGTTAGGAGATGTAATGAGGGGGTGGGTTGCAGGCTCTGATGTTTATGGGTGAATGCTTCAATTTTGGAATACCATGTGTGCCATGCTCATTATCTGTCCTCCTAGGCCCTGAATTTCAACAGTGCGGCTGTGCCACAGAAACCCGCCCTGGAAGAACTGGATCTTTACAAGACGAAAGTCAAGCTCTGCATCCTCCTTCACGCTTTCAGAGTCCGCGCAGTGACTATCAACAGGATGATGAGCTATCTGAATTCTTCCTAAAAAGGCTCAGGTCTCGCCCAACCTTAAAGTCATTTGAACCAAAGCGATTTTTATAGGCTGTGCGGGAGGTGGTGGCTTGACCTGGTCCTACTTAAGCTAGTAATTTTCTTGTTTACATTAGTCAACCACCCAAAAGTTGAACATGTAACTACTTTATTTAAATGGGTCCTTTCCTCGCGTATATTCCACATTTACTAGGGATAAGTTGTTTTTAAAGTTTTCATAAGCAAATTGCTAAAGGGGGAAGTTTTCTTCACTGTGTGTGATTTTTAGAAAAACAGGAATTTATAAGCTATTTCTATATCAAAGTGTTTGTTGAAACACTCAAGCATAATTTATTTTAAAATATTTATTTATATAAGGGTGTGTTCGTGAAGGCATGTGAGCTAACTTATATTTATTTATGTCATATTTATTAAAATATTTATTTTCAAATGGATTTGAGAAATACCTGATGTTGTTCTAAAAATAAGATGATGGAATTAATTTTCATATTTCTCTAATGTAATTGGAGTACTTTCAGTGTTAGAAATACACATTGTGGGGAACCTGACAACACTGATGGAATCTGAACAGAATTACCTTGGAAAGATTGTGGCAATGTTCTTACCCATTTCCTAATGACTTTAATCGCCTACTTTAAGGGAGCCTGGTTAGGCTAGAGACATTTTAATGCTGAAGTCCTCGAGTGAGTCACTTTATTCTTGTTCACCATCTGAATCTAAAACACAGGAGCATGTTTTTCCCTGCTAGCCACAGCTCTATAACATACTGTGCACCAGACAAATACATAATAATACCCTCCAACTGGGAAAAGCATCATTAAGAGGCCTTCTAGTTAAATTATTCTAATTTTCATGACCCTTTGGGCCCGCAGGGGAAGTTGTTTCTAAATTACAATGAGAAAAATTCTCCATTTGCTTTAAATTATATAGAACTTCTGCCTGAGCCACATGGATAATTGCCTTGCTTTGGCTTAAGAGAGGTGCTCTTAATGACCCAAATATTAAATTCCATCTTGTTAATTCTCTAAACCATGTGAATTTTAAAAGATGCACCTGATGGAATCACATCATTTTAGTACTCTGATAATCATATTGTGCCCTTGGGAACAAACTATTCAGAGTACCCCACATGATGTGATTCGATCAGGTGCATCTTTTAAAATTCACATGGTTTAGAGAATTAACAAGATGGAATTTAAAATTTGGGTCATTAAGAGC